ACAACGTTAAAGTTGCTCAAAAACCTTTTCAGACTTTGGGGCATATTTTCGCCAAACCTAAGGATCCTATCACGAAAGAACAACGAACCGACACCATTTATTCTATTCCTTGCAATGACTGTGACAACGAATACATCGGACAGACCAAACGTCAGTTTGGTACACGGTTGAGAGAGCACCAAAAAGCGGTTTTTCTTCGCAAAAAGGAAAATTCAGCTTTATCGGAGCATACATGCCTAATCAACCATACAATTGGGTGGGATAATTCTAAAATTATCACCACTAATCGGCGTTACCACAAGCGCCTTTGTTTGGAGGCTTGGCATATTAACTCCGCCCACGCTCCTTTAAATCGTGACGATGGCGGTTTGCTTCCTGACGCCTATTTACAACTCGTCAGAAAAAAGGCCGCTAACTTGCGTGTCATAGCCCTAAGACAACTCGATGCCGAACAAGCAGATACTTTCAGAAGAGCTGTTAACGGTATCCTTCAACAGGCGGAACTATCAACGCCTAACATCACGAAGGAGATGCGAGATGCTCTTAAAAACCTGAAAGAAGACGAGTCCAGCATGGTCCTCCCAACGGACAATATCATGGATACCGACACCTACCGTGCCAAGATGTCTACGCTTATTGAGAACGGACCCTACCACTCCTCAACAAAGATCCAACAGACCGTCTGACCCGCAAGTTGTCCGAAAAGCTGCTCACCTTGAAGCGAAGCGGATATCTATCAGAGGCCGTTAACAACAAGATCCGACCCCGACACAAACAGCCGCCTAGAATCTACGGTTTACCGAAGATCCATAAGGCCGACGTACCGCTAAGACCTATCGTGTCGATATTGATCTCAGAAATTTATTTTCCAAATCCGTACCCTTAATACAGTACAACTTAGTATAATTTTTACTGTTAAAATAATTGGATTAAGGCCATTTTTAACCCTGATCACTCTCATATGCACAACCGAACTACTGGCTGAACAGTTTTTTAACTAAATGAAAAATTGCGTTTTTAAACCTTTTCTTTTGTTTTAAGTCCTTAAAAAATAGGGGTCACGACGCGTTTTCTAAGTATTCCAGATTTTTAAATTAGTCATCATATCTCGTTTTAGCACACCTAACACCTCCAATGATACTAAAATACTATTCTTTCATTTTGTGAAGTTTTTCATGGAAACATATCGTCCACTACGTTTTCCTTTTTCCGGTTTTGAAGCGGAAAAAGTCATGATTGAGCCAATTTGACTCGTAGAATGTAGGGATAAATATTCCTTCCATAGGCACATGGATTGCTATAAATGTAGGAAATGTTGGTCGTGCGTAAACACCTTTGCATATGATTTATCCGCTTACTTAGCCAACATCCTGTCTCCTTTAACAGGAAAGTCAGAGTACACGGTGACCAATTCAGTATCCACCGTCAGCAATGAGACGATCTTAGACAACGAGATCATGGTATCCTTCGACGTAGAATCGCTGTTTACCAACGTTCCTATCGACACCGCTGTACAAGCCACACTGCAGAAACTCGAGAACGACCCAGGCCTTGCAGACCGCACCACGCTAACGCCTGCACAGATCGCTGACCTTTTGACCTTCGTATCGAGACCCACATACTTTCAAAGCCAGTTTTACCTTATGTTAAGGGCCTATCCGAACAGCTTCGCCGCTGCCTACAACAACAAGGCGTACGCGCTGTTTTCAAGTCGGAAACTACGCTAAGATCTCAGCTAGTGCAACCAAAAGACGCTGTCGACCCGGCTAAACAGGATGGCGTAGTTTACAGGATTCCCTGTGAATGCGGCAAGGTTTATATCAGAGACACTGGAAGAAATAAGCAAGAGAGAATTAAGGAGCACGATCGAGACATCCGACTCGCCCGTACCAAGACCTCTGCCGTTTCAGAGCATACCCCCAACACCGGACGCAAGGCATTCTGAAACGAGGTAAAGTTTATTGATCGTGACCCTTATTACTATACGCGCAGGGTCAAAGAGGCAATTGATATAAGACTTCACCCAGACAACATCAACAGGGATAATGGAATAGAAATTCCAGAAGAGTGGATGCCCACGATCAAAAAACACAACAACAGGAGAGCCGTGCGACAGCGGACCGCCGAAGAAGCAAATCAGTGAGTGTAACAGCAAGGATCGAGATGCACCAATCAGAGCTGTTGAAAAACAACCAATCACAGCAGAGCATCATGCTTTATAAGATCACGCATGACCAGTCGACCTCATCGCCTGAAGAAGACCAGCAGTATGCAGTCGAAACGTCGCGATCTACATCACACGTGACTACATCGTGAGACAAACGAAAAACTTAGCTTTTTATTGTTATTCACCACGATGAATAACCACAACCTTTTCCACGAAATTAACTTAAATAAGGTGTTCTTGGAATCGGTCACCTGTCATCGCGACGTGGAAAGTAATGACAAGGACGCATCCAAACCAGTACCTTGACCGTGTTTTTTCAAAGAACAACTACAACGAAGACTTCATCCAACGTAACACTTACCGACCTACTACTACTTCCGAAAGTAACGACAACGCAACTCACTCCTACGACCACAGAAACTATACCATGCATAAAGGGAATATCTGAGAACATCTCGCGCATCCTACGACTATTCTAAATCCGCGTCGCTCACAAACCTATCACCACACTACGTCAGCTACTGACTAACGTCAAAGATAGAGACGAACCGAGGAACAGACAGGGAGCAGTGTATAAGATCAGTTGCTCCGACTGCCACGCCTCCTACATCGGTGAGACTGGCAGAAACCTAAAAAACTAGACTGACTGAACACAAATGCCTAACCTACAGTACCAATTACTTTCAAAGACTGACCCTGGAAAGCTGGTTTACTAACTTGGAACAGTCTCCCCTCAACAGGTGTCAACCACTACCTGCACCATACAAACGACTCATTCGCGATATTAACATTACAAACGAACCGAACAGAACTTCCTAACTTCATTAACGGATCGAGACCGACCGATCACGACCGACTTACGCCACTTGAGTCTTACAGCCAATAACATCACGGCAAAACTGACCAATCAGTTTAGACAAACCGGACTAAGTAAATTCGACTAACAACTACTATTCACTTGACTCTGATGACAACAGTCCTTCTCAGGACTACACTAACCCAGACGATCAAACGACTCTATTACATGTTACCCCGGGGTTCAAACCATTTACTGTAATATTCGCTTTGTCACTTAAGATCGTTGAATGGTTCCACCACCGAAGCCTAAGTATATTTTAGTATGAAAAATTTGTAGATCACATTTGGTCCAAAATAACCTTAAGAGATACCCGATAGATGGCATGAAGAACATGTTCAAACAGCATTTGCTCGTGAGTAGAGAAGTCATTTGACAAAGTAAGAATGTCGTAATAGTCCGAAATAGACCTTGCTTTGACTTCCTATATTTCCGTCACAGTTCTCCCATTAAGTTCTTGGACAACATTTTCCTATTTTCCTACCCTGAGCAATAACAGCATCACACCATTTTTCACCTATATGAAATTTTAGCTTGCTATTTTAAAATCAAGAACAAAAGACGAATATCCGATAAAACACGAGTGAAAAGTAACTAACATTTATCTTTTATGGCAATCAGCTTTCCGTAATATTTCCTAAACCACAAACACTTTTGCTCCTAAAATCTTTGATGAAGTTTCTAAGCTCTATTTCAAGGCTTAGGAAATCCACGTTTGGCATTTTGAAGTATTTTCTTGTTTTAAGAATTCAAGACAATTATTACGAAGTGAAGGAGAGGGAACCTGCAAACCTTACATTTTGAAAACCTGAGACAAGGTGAAAGTTTGGACAATCCAAAGGTTCTGCGCGATGGTTGAGTCTGAAACGTGGTTACAAAAACAAGTTATGAGGTTCTCTAAACAGTGCTTTTGTTTCTGCATTTCACAACTTGCAATGAGTCATGGAAAAAGCAGGAAAATAGAACCTTAATCAGATTTTCAAGACGTCATGATGATTTATATTTTATTGAGGCAAAAGCTACCAAGGCAAGAACATTGGAGTTACAGGCTTCACAGCAAGTTAATTCCACTCAAGTTCGTTTTCTTGCTGAGGAAAGATATGGTGGCTCAGAAAATGGTGGTCATTTGTAGACCCCTTCGCGGGATGAATTAAATATTCATTTTGACGCCTCTTGCAGAAGCATTGAAAACAATGCCATTGTTACTGGCCGGCCTTTGTCGTCTGCTGCTGTTAATGATTGTATAGTTAAACCACTAACACTGTGCTCGGTGAATGTTCGGTCGGCGAAATCCAAGTCTGCTGATTTACTGTACTATATTTTTTCATCTGGTGCTGATCTGTTTGCTCTTACTGAGACCTGGCTCAATGCTAATGATACTGTGGCAAAACTTGAATTTATCCCGCCTGGCACGCATAAGTCTATGCACCATAATCGATCCGTTCTCAAAAGAGACGGAACGGGTCTGCTCTTCAGAGAGAACATTGAAGTTAAGATAATTGATGCCGGAGAGAAAACCTCGTTTGAATTGTCGGAATGGAGCCTAAGTTCGAATTCATTCCGGGCTACGCTGTCTATTATTTATCGCCCACCGTGTTCTGCTCAGCTTCCTGTGACTCTGAATACTTTTATGGAAGAGTTTGCCACATATCTGGAATCCTTCATATCAGTGCCTGAGCCGTTAATTGTGACTGGGGACTTGAACATCATGTAAATGATACAAATGATCCCAACGCTTGCGAGTTTCTGGACTTGCCTGTATCTATGGGTTTAAAGCAGCATGTGAAGGGTTCGACTCATGAGGGCGGCCACACCCTGGATTTGGTCATCACCAGAAAACATGATGACATCATCAAGAATGCGCCAGTCATTGACCGGTTCATATCTGACCATGTTGCAGTACTTTGTCCCTTGAACTCTGTAAAACCCACCTTACCAAAATTTCTTTCTTATTTAAATTTTAGGGAAGTACTTTCTCTATTTGCAGATTTCTTGGACAATGTTATCAGTTATTCTTTCGATTGAATCCTTATCGGTTAGCCTCAAGAAATGTTTTTGGACAGGTTTGCTGGATAAATTTATCAACTCGTCGTCCCCCATTCTTTTGGTAATTCCGATTGCAAACACTTCGATTCCTCTGTTTTTCAGTTCATCAGCCCTCAGTTTTACCATTCCGGGTCCGATGAAACTAAATCCATCCGTGACGACAACAGCAACTTTTCTAACATCTGTAAAGAACAGAAGACGAAAATAAAGACAAGTCTATTAAAATATTTCTAACTAGAACATTGTTGGCAAAGGTAAAAAAACGTTATTGTAAATTAATTTTTAGGCGAAAGGTTCGTCCAAATCTCTATAGTTCAAGTTCAAATTCAGTAGAAACTTCTCTCCCCATATCGTCCCTGAGTTGACAAAACCTTAAACTCGCCCTAGTTACTCTGGAGACTCTGCGACAAACATCAGCTTCGCTTGATGGTCACCGAAACCTCAAAATAATGACTTCAGTCTTGCACAGTCCTACCAAGGAGGAGTGGAACTCTAACACTTTAAATGAATACATGAGTCTTTATAGTAATGAATACTAATTAATCAGTAAGGAAAATAAAACCTGAAAAAAAAAAAAAATACAGGCCCACACGGGAGTTCAACCTCTTATCTTTGCGACACCGGTGTAGTGCTCTACCAACTGAGCAGACAAACTAACTGAGAGCTGATAATTTTGTTGGTTTGTAATAAACCTGTGAAGCAATGAATAATCCGCAGTTCACGCCAATGATTTTCGTATATTCATAGTCAATTATTAACATTATAGTTTTTATTGTGACGATGACTGAAATCAGTCGTAAACCAAACGTTTGAAGACGTTTCACGATGAATATCCTACAAAACATAAAGGCCATATATTCATATCTATTGAAATGTAAGCAAATTACGTTATTTATCATGATTTTGTGAACCTTACGAACTTTTGCTTGTTCCGATACATCTTTCAATCTATTTTCTACAAAAGAAAAAGGAAAGCTACATAAACTAGCATTTAAGTATTATAACAGAACGATAATCTTTTTAGAACGGTTCGACCGACGCTATGACGTTTCATCCTCTTGCTTGCCAAAATTGTATTTGTTCTTGTATTAATACTCCTTCCCTATTCTACAGTGCCGTGGGCGAAGTCAAGTCGATTTCTTTATCTTTTCTTTTGTCTATGACCTGCAATGACATGTTATTCCTTAGAAGACTTACCGGACTCCTTGATTCTTGACCCAGATTCTTGCACAAACAGATGACCGTTTAATATTGTCAAGCATCTCGATGTCTGCGTGGAAGATCCTTCAAAGAAGACATTGTTCACTTTTCGCTCAAGCCCTTCTTCCTCCTGGTCGTCTTCGAATGTGGAATAGATCTTAACCGATTCTGAGTAAGCCACAAGTGCGACACGAACGTTGTCTCTGGAGATTCTGAATCGTCTTAGAAGTGTTTTGGCGAATTTCTTTGCAAGGCTGAAGTTTTCATCATTTATACTCGCTGAAACGTCCAAAACGACCGCCAGGTCAATTTTTCGGTCGCATTTCTCTATTTTTCCTATTCAAAAGTAGAGACATAGTAATTTCAGAAAAACATCAAACAAAATAGTAATTGACAGTTAAAAGTCATTTCTCATTGAGAGGCAAAGCATTATTTAGCAATGACTGCTAAGGCTAATGTCCATGAATGTGTGGAACCTGTAAATAAGGATTCTCCTCTTTGACTATTTACCATCCTGTATCCAACGCGCACTCGCGAACGGATCAATTTTTAACATTGACATACCTCAGCTTATTCAAAATCCGTGTGAAAATCACTTACTTTAATAAAAAAAATGGCTTCTTCCGGATTAGATTCAAATATTTCAATACAAAAATACTTTGATTGAGTAATTCGGGAAGGAACTAACATGTTTACCTAACATGAGGATCCTTCTTTGCAAAAACGCCGAATTCGTGTAAATATGTTGATGATGCAAGATATACTGATCACAGCAAAGATTTCTAGTCTTTGCAAGAGCATGTATTTGAGTTATTTTCGTTTTCAATCAAACGCGTGGCAAGATGAGGGTGTGATATATATTTACTCACAAGTCTCACAATGAAGAAGGTGCGAGTTTTTTTATTTATGTTTTGAAAAAAAAGCAGGTCTTGCTTAAAAGTAAGTCTCTCTAGTTTTTGAGAGAACATCTATTTTGAGTTATTCTCGTTTTCAATCAAACGCGCGGCAAGACGAGGGTGTGATTTTTTACTCACAAGTCTCACAATGGAGAATTTGCGAATTTTTTTTGTTTTAAAGTTAATGGTTTGAACCCAGGAGTATCAGTAGTTCGTGTAGTGTGATCGTCCGGGTGAGTGTAATTCTGAATAGAACTGTTTTTGGTGACTGATATAAAAAGACGTTCCGACTACCTGTGCTGTAGTCATCTTCAGAGTCAAGTGAAGAGTAGTTGTCAGTCGATGATGTTATAAAGTCTGGTCTGTTGAACGCGATTGGTCTGTTTAGCCGTGATGTGATTGGCTGGAAGACTCGTGTAGAGTTTGTTAACAGTCATTGGTCGGTTTCGATCCGTCTGTTGTTAGTCGGTCTGTTTGTCGGTTTGTTCACGTCGTCAATGAGTCGTTTGTAAGGTGCTGGTAATTGTTGACATCTGTTGAGAGGCGTCTGTTCTAAATTTGTAAACCAGCTTTCCAGAGTCAGTCGTTGAAAATAGTTTGTACTGTTGGTTAAGCATTTAGCAGAGTCCCAGTCGATTCTGTGATTAGTTTGTCGGTGATGTTCAGAAATGTGATTGTTTACATCGCCGTTTCTAGTTGCTCGTTTGTGTTCAGTTAGTCGCGTGTTAAGGTTTCTACCAGTCTCACCAATGTAGGAGGCCTGGCAGTCAGAGCGTTAGATCTTATAAATCGCTCCCTGTCTGTTTTTGGGTTCGTCTTTGTCTTTAACGTTGGTCAGCAAATGTCGTAAAGTAGTTATAGTCCTGTGAGCTACGCGAATGTTGTAAGGTTGTAAGATCCGCGCGATAGCCTCAGAAGTGCCTTTGATGTAGGGTATAGCAGCTGTAGTCGTGACAGATGTGGAGTCCCTGTTAGTTTCTGTAGTGTCGGTCGCCCTGTGAGTGTTTCGTCTAATTTTTTTGTTTTGTTCTATATTCTCTTTCGGAAAAAAAAAACAGGTCTTGCTCGAACTAACATAGTTTTACGGCAGATTCTAACAGTCTTTATTAAAATTATAAAGCTATCAACAGTTTTCCCAAATATTCCCTTTGCAGAAAGCGAACGTTATGACTCATTGTTTGTTTTCAATCAAGCGAGGCGGCATTTAACGAACCAAGGGGTGTGAATTTTTCGCCTGTCAAGTTTTTGTTGTTTGTGGGAGATTATTCAGTTTTTCGTGCTTACGAAGCGCGAAATTTAAATAAATTCGGATTGAACAGTCGAGTCAAATGGGAGAAATTGACGAGCGTGTGCGACTATTTCCACTCGCCATTGTTTTTTTTTAACTCCTTTCGTTGAATTGAAATACGGAAAGGGAATGATACCCGTGAACCTACATGAGTTAACGACGCGCGAGGCGTCGGACGTTATTACCAGGTTTAAATCATACGCTAGAGGAAGGAGAATAGGAACCTTTTTGCGCACATCAGGAACAAAATCTTATTCACGCAGCGCGAAATTTAAATACACGCACATTAAACAATCGAGCAAATGACGATAGTCTTCTATATGATTCAACGGCGCGTTAGGCTTCGGACGTTAATACCAGGTTACACATGCTATAATTACCTTTGCATCGCACAGTGAGCCTCTAATTGAATATATCTTTCGCCAGTTTTAAGCAATAAAAAGGAAAAAACAGTGACATCTCTTTACTTCAGATACGAAAGCTACAGTCGCCCCACCATCCACCCCTCCGTGCCTATTTGCATCCTAAAAAATCTACCAGAATCACCCCCACGGGGAGGATTTGTCTTATCGTCAGTTTTGCTGATGGTTTAAATCTGCCGCTCGTGTGATAATCGGAAATTTTGAAAAATCCCGCGTGTATTTTGAAGCTGTTTCCGCCATTGTTCCAAAGTAGCCATAGACGGTCATTGTAAATCATTTAACAAAGCCTGCTGCAATCTAAGCTGATCCGATTTTCTTGATGCGTACATTCAGCAATCCATGTGCCTATGGAGGGGCTATTTATACATGTTACGAGTCAAATTGGCTCAATCATGACTTTTTTCTCTTCAAAACCGAAAAAAGGAAAACGTAGTGGACGATATGTTTCCATGAAAAACTTCAGAAAATGAAAGAATAGTGTTTTAGTAACATTAGAGGTGAAATTAAGAGATCCTCGCAGCTAAGAACACTACAGAAACGAGTAGTTGAAAATAGGACCTGAAAAAAATTCAGGCCCGTACGGAATTTGAACCCATACCTTTGCGATACCGGTGCAGCGCTCTACCAACTAAGCTAACAAGCCAACTGGGAGCTGGTCAATGTGTTGGGTCCAAATAAACCATCCAGGTGATGAATGATGATTTTAGATATATGAAATTCATATATTTGCACTGCGGTGAAGAGATGAAATTAAGAGATCCTCGCAGCTAAGAACACTACTGAAAACTACTCGTTCAACTACTCGTTTCAGTAGTGTTCTTAGCTGCGAGGATCTCTTAATTTCATCTCTTCACCGCAGTGCAAATATATGAATTTCATATATCTAAAATCATCAAACAGTAGAGGTGTTTAGTATGCTAGAACGAGATGTGATGGCAAATTTAAAAAGTCTGAAATACCTAGGAAATGCTTCGTAACCTTAATTTTTTAAGGACTTAAAACAAAAGAAAAGGTTTAGAAACCCAATTTTTCATTTACTTAAAAAACTGTTCCGCCAATAGTTTGGTTGTGCAAATGAGAGTGATCAGGGTGAAAAATGGCCTTGATCCAATTATTTTAACAATAGTAAATTACATTAAGTTGTTCTGAGTATCGTATTTGGTTTTTATTGTCCGAGAAATAAATATTTTTCCGAGAAGCGAAGCTTTGAGGGAAAGGAACGGGAATTATCAGTGGAAATGCTAGCCGCCCGATGGGCCTCATTGATTTTATGATCCTTCCAGTAATTTTCAAATTACTCGTTGACAACAATTTTTTTTTACCCTTTTGTACTTCTCGGAGCTTTTTAATTTGACAATCACCATCACTATCACTATCACTAAAAAAATTCTTCGTTTTTCTTTCATGTTAGGTAATAAAAATGAAAAAGTAAAACTCTTGAGCTATTATTTTTCCCGCTGACTTTGTTTCTTTTCGACGGAAATAATCGAAGGACAAATATCCACGTACAATGGGGCTATTGCCGTGATACCTGTCTGGTGATTTTGCACTCCTTGACGAAAAGTAGCCAATAGAATTGCGCCAAAATTATTGGGTGGGTTATAATCCATTATAAACGTAATTTGAGTTCACAAGAGTTTACATGTGTGGGCCTATTACTGCGATCAATTTGAATTTGAATTGAAATGAATTTAGCGAATAGCAATCAAAAGCGGCAGCTTTTATTTTTCAGCGCGGAGCTTTTCTCGGTTATCAAGCTGCTAAGTTTTCAATAATGGGGACAGGATGGCAAATTTCCAAAATCGTGCTTATTCTCCATTGCTTTTTAGCTGCTAATACGTTGAAGATATCGCTTACCTTAGGCGTACATTAAATCACAATAACAAGTATAAGAATCACTATTCTTCCTATTGACTTCTTCAAAGCATAATCAACTAATTGTGATTAAGTATCTAGGTATGCGATATTTTCCAGGTGAAGAGAGGTTTTCTTCAATTTTTCTTGCATTTATTTACATCATTTTTATATACCAAGGGGTGCTTGACGAGTTCAAAGTTTGCTAATATTCGCTTTGTCACTTAAGATCATTGAATGGTTCCACCACCGAAGCCTAACTATATTTTAGTATGAAAAATTTGTAGGTCACATTTGGTCCAAAATAACCATAAGAGATGGCCGACAGATGGTATGAATAACATGTTCAAACAGCATTTGCTCGTGAGTAGAGAAGTCATTTGACAAAGTAAGAATGTCGAAATAGTCCGAAATAGACCTTGCTTTGACTTCCTGTATTCCGTCACCGTTCTCCCATTAAGGTCTTGGACAACATTTTCCTATTTTCCTACCCTGAGCAATAACAGCATCACACCATTTTTCACCTATATGAAATTTTAGCTTACTATTCTAAAATCAAGAACAAAAGACGAATATTCGATAAAACACGAGAGAAAAGCAGCTAATATTTATCTTTTATGGCAACCAGCTTTCCGTAATATTTCCTAAACCATAAACACTTTTGCTCCCAAAATCTTTGTTGAAGTTTTCTAAGCTCTACTTCAAGGCATGTTTGGCATTTTGAAGTATTTTCTTGTTTTAAGAATTCAAGAAAATATTACGAAGTGAAGGAGAGGGAATCTGCAAACCTTACATTTTGAAAACCTGAGACAAGGTGAAAGTTTGGAAAATTCAAAGGCTCTGAGCGATGCTTGAGTCTGAAACGTGGTTACAAAAACAAGCTATGAAATTATCTAAACAGTGCTGTAGTTTCTGTATTTCACAAATTGCATCGAGTTATGGAAAAGCAGGAAAATAAAACCTTAATCAAATTTTCAAGATGTCATGATGATTTACGTTTCAAGTGGCAAGCACAGACATTTTCATAATTAAATAAATGTATCCAACGCGCACTCGGGAAGAGACGAATTGTTGAAATTGACATACTTCTTGCTCAAAACCCGTGTGAGAAACAAATTTGTGTTTTATAGACATTCGCCGACTCGGGTTGTTAAAGGCCTTAAACTTCCCGTGTGCGAGGAAACGCTCGTTCAGAAATGCTATTGATAATAAAAATGTGCTCACAAGCTATTTCTGGTTTTGTTATCAATTTTTACAACTGGTGGAACATTTTTAAGACAAAGGAGCACAGTATGTCTTATTCACACGGTCCCGAAAACTGAAAGTAGAAACTCTAATAGATATGTTTACTTATTCTGTTAAACAATTCTGAATTTGAGTCGCAGATCCAAAACAAATTCAGGAGCTAAATGCTGTAAAAAACTAGTTGGTTAGTAAAGAAAAGTTTGGGAGACTACTGACAGCGACAAAGATTAAAATTTGCTATGTTTCGCCATCTGGTTTTCACTACAAAAGGTATCGCTTATCTTGGAAGTTTTCAGCAATATTGAACTATTTACGCCATTCATCCGTTTGTCTCACACAGAGCGGGCTAAACTCTTTTTCTCAGGAATTTTACTTGGAGGAAAAAATAAAAGGAAGAGTAGATATAAAAGGGGAATTCTGGCACATTTTGAAAACAACCTTGAATTTTGAGGCAACTCATGAATTTTACCTTCATTTCAAGTCAACCTTGAAATCAACTTTGATTTCAAAAAGACAGTTTTTGCACATTTCCAAATCAACCTTGATTTCAGGGCAACTATAATTTTTCACAGGTGAATAACATTCACAATATCTCACTCGTGAGTTCTGAAGACGGTGAGAATATCATCATCTCGAATGATTCTGTTCAACGATTTTCTTGTCGCGCCATCGGGGTGTTGATTGTTTTTGTGAAGAATTTCAAAGATCAATTTTGTATTTTCTCGCAAAGAAGTCGTGGTGTGCCTTGGTTAGTTCTTCTGTCAAAGCAGTGTCTTTGTAAATGAGAAGAGTATAACACCAGTGAGAGAGCGACACTTACTACTGAAAGAATTTGAGTGAGGGAGTGAGAGGAGCTGCACTTGCGATTGCCATGTACCTTCCATGCTTCAGACTCAATCCACCAGCAATCATTCCAAATTCTCTCTTTTCCATGAAGTTATCATTCAAGTCCTTCAGACGTTTTTCTTCATCAACATGGAGAAAATGAGCCAATGCTTTAGATAAGAGCTGAAGAAATGTATCAACCATTGAATCGCAAGTCTTTGAAGACAATGAAGTTAAAGGAAGAGAACAGAAATACTTCCTCTCAGCTACTGATCTCAACAATGCTAGTCCTTTACACACATTTAAGTTTCTGTCAGAGATAAACATTCAGTGAATTGATATTCCCATTCTTAGCACTCAGAGGCCTTCTGACACAAAGGTTTGCTATACTAGTTCTTATTGCATTGTGTTAATCAATGCTATGATAATATAATTTTGCGATGTAAAGAAGATACTTAAAAGATTGATCCAAATCAATTTATTTATTTTATACTGTTACAGTTACCATAAGATTTGTTTGAAGGAGAATCTTTCAGACCATCGAATTGTATGAGAAATTATTTTTTGCGAGACTTCTATCAAACTTTTTATTATGAGGACAGTTTTGTGAATAATAAAATTTAGAAGAACTTGAAGAAAGCACGTCACTAAGCGAGAAACATTCAAGATCTACGGTTTCATAGCCTCAGCTGTTGTACTTGCAGTCGGAACAACGATTGGAGTGATTGTGAGCGCATTGAAAAGAGGCCTGAAGTCTGTTGCCAAAGGCGCTGGGGATGGTTTTAAGACTCTTGGAAGTAAGATCTCGGATATTCTTCCAGGTCTCATAGGCTCAATAACTGGCTTCATTTCCAAGACTGCCGGATCAGTGATCAACTTTCTCGGTCAAAATGTATGGCCTCCAATAATGGGAGTCACCATATTCATGGTTGAGCGCTTTAAGAAGAACAAGTAATGAAGCCCTTCGGGCCAGGGACCGCTTTACGGTCCAAGCGGCCCTAGCTCTTATAGCCAGAAGCCGCAGAGCGATTAAATCAAGAATGCTGATACCAGTTCAGTTTAAATCAATCCGACCTCTACCGTATCATCGGGTAACTCGTAAACATAATTAACGAAATGAGATTTGAATTTGACAAGAGGCCATACGGGTTTTCTCTGTTTATATCGAGACAAAAATTCAGAAGAAAAAAATATCTTTAGAATTTTTGTCTAGATTTTGAATCTCCTCACTTGTCATCAACAGTTTTTATGCTTAAGTCACATGACGAGTCGTTTCAATTTAACCAATCAGCCAAGTGGAAGATGCATCTTTTGGTTCTTTAACAACAGAGAATATTTATCTTTCAGTTTTGTAACGACAGAGAATATTTATCTTTCAAAATAAATAACAAGAGGTTTCCGCAATTTGTAAACCGTTTGAAAGGATTTATCGAAAGAACTATTGATCATTACCCCGACGCGAAAGATTTGACAATGGAAGACGCTGAGGATTTTTGACATATATTAGCGTTTCAAAATGAAGAAAAACCCGCACGTGTTAGACAAGTTTTCAACGGTGAACGATTTTGTGAAAATTAATGTAAAAAAGTTTCTGTAATAGCTCTGATGTTTTTACGCAGGCTTTTGTAAAAACAAAATAGACAGGTGAATTTTGTTTAAAAACGTTTCATCAAAAAAGCGCGCGTCTGTGAATAATCGGTTAATATCAATAAACGTGAGATACAAAATAGACAGGTGAATTTTGTTTAAAAACGTTTCATCAAAAAAGCGCGCGTCTGTGAATAATCGGTTAACATCAATAAACGTGAGATACAAAATAGACAGGTGAATTTTGTTTAAAAACGTTTCATCAAAAAAGCGCGCCTCTGTGAATAATCGGTTAACATCAATAAACGTGAGATATTTTTCCCTGAAATTTCTTTCAGTCTTTTTTCAAACTTATCTCTGAAAGGGTGAATAACTTAACATGTCTCAAAGAGGCTTCACAAAAATCAGGTACCTGTTCTCACACCAATCTTCTTTCACAATGATTAGATAACTCTCTTTTGACAGAAGAACAATTGAAGGCACATCACAACTTCTTTGCGAGAAGATACAAAATTGATATTTGAAAATTTTCACACAAACAATCAACACCCCGATGGCGCGACAAGAGAATCGTTCACACCCTCTCCAGTGGCCTTGAAATCAAGGTTGCCTCCAAAATGTTCAAGAAAAGTTTTTAATTGAGGCTGATTTCAAGCTTGACTTAAAATCAGGTTTAGATTTACGAGTTGCCTTAAAATCAAGTTTTTTTTTCAAAATGTACTAAAATTCCCCTTTTATATCTACTGGAAGCGTCAAGTCTTTGAATCGACCTCTTCTACACTATAAAGGGCTAAAAGATACAAAGAGGGAGTAAGTATCGAAGATCTCGCTTATTCGATTTTGCTTATCACTTACAATGTATTGTAGGTATCGCTTACCTTGGGCACAGTGAACCACAATAACAAAGATGAAAAACAAAGTAAAATTCATCTCTATTGACACCTTTCTACCAACGGTTGGTTGAATTTTAACCGATCTCCGCGTTTCAATAAACAAAGTTTACCACCTGATTAAATTTTCATGGCTCCCAAGAAAGCGAGGCAGTGTCTGAAGGCGACTACTTTGACTCCCTTTGTTTCCGTCTATGGTCTCACATGACGGCTTCGCTGGTCTCATTGACGGACGGTTGTTTGATTTTTTCCAAACGGTACCCCATCACACTTTCACACTTTTATTTTATTATATTTTCTTATGCATACACAAGATATTTCTTTGACCTGCAGATAACGGATGTTAATCGACGCGGGTTATTTTTTTCTTAACTAAATAAAATTTGACTTTATTATATCACGCTGGAAATATGACAGAAATGAAGAAACAAAACATATCAAGAGAACACAAAGATAATCGCTTGCACATATGAAGACAATAAAAGATACACAAGAAAAGAAAAAGAAAAAAAAGGAAATGAAAGACCTAGAGTTTTTTAGGTAAACGAAAAATATTGTAAACTGGTTCAATTTGTTTCAATTTTTCTTCATTTGAACCTGTAACTTACCATTTTTGCTTTAAGAACAATTGACCAATTTGTATTCGTTTATAATCAGTACCGATGTGGATCACGATGTTTTGACCATTCACTGTGATAAAGAGATTTTAAAGTTCTGCGATGTCTCTGTGACTTTGACTAAAACACCACGAGCACCTGATGCAGGTTAACAAAAAAAAAAAAAGAAAAAAAAAGCAATAAATAGATCAAAAATAAGTAAAAAACTTCCTTCATGTGTATCAGTATTCACTAGTATGTACTCGTCTGTCACTCGTATGCACTCGTATGCCACTAGTAGTACTCTTGCGTCGCTTTAGTCACCATAGTTAGTCTAGACGATAAGGTTGACTGGATACCCGTTACCTTATTACGGCGATGCTGAGACAGCCAAAGAAAGGACTGAACTTCGGTGTAGCTCTTAAGAACACATTCCTGCCACAGAGATAATCGCCAAAGCTTAATCGGCGTCCAGAACACTCGACTCCGAATTAGCGAACACTTTTAGTAGAGCGGTTAACAGTATACGTCAATAGGCTAACTATTAGCCGCAGAGCAGGTACAATTTGGGCCAGCGAGCGTTCAGTATTTCCTTAGCGAAAATTATGGCCGCCACCTTTTAATTTAATGATAGCGAAAGCCTGGGGAGAGAAAGAAATTTGTACCAAGGGGGAGGTCGACGGTAAGAAATAAGGAGTGGGTATGGGTGGGGGAGTGAAGTCTTCCCCTTTTCCCACCCTCTTACCCACTGCCTCTATCTCCAAAAAAACATGGCCAATTGAATAAACGATCGCGAGCTTCTTAATGTGAACTCGCCCTTTGTAAAACGCCTGTAGGTTAGCAAACTACTAGAGCATAACGCCAAGAAGCTTGAACGACTGAGGGCCTGTTCACATGGAGGTGAGGGACCCCAGGTAGGAGAGGTAACCCACCCAGGTGGGGTAACCGTCCTGTTCATATTGATCACGTTTACTTGCAATTGATAGTTGGGGTGACCTACCTTGGCAGGTTGCCCGGTCTGCTGGTTAGGGTTACCCTGTCAGTCGGGGTGGCATGTAAACGTTCCCAGGCTCGGAACATTAAAAAATGCCTATCTTCGAATCGTCCCAGTCTTCTTCTGAACTCTCTGTCACAGGATCTGAGCATTGATAAACACGTGCATCATGAAGAGGGAAAAAAAAAAAAACGACGATACCAGTGTCCCCTTGGCCCTTTAACACCAGCTGGTCAAAAGAGATTTCCTTGCCACGCCCTATTCGGTACGACCTCCACACACGTGTATTAGTAGCTGCATATCAGTACCTTCGTAAAAGTGCATAGATCTGTATCAGGATTTATAGCTTTATAATAGTAGCTCTGTTTCAGTAACTCCTTATCAGTACTGGCTGCGTATCAGCAATTAAAAAGGGTGGCCTTATTTTCACTACTGCTTAGATAGTGGTCATAACTGCGAAGATCGCTTCCATATTCATCTGTAATCCGCAGTTCACATTTGATTCTCATATATTTACAGTTAGTTATTTATCACTTTATGGGTTTATTTGAGACCAACATAATGACCAGCTCCCACTTGGCTTGTTAGCTCATTTGGTAAAGCGCTGCACTGGTATCGCAGAGGTCATGGGTTCATATCCCATACTGCTTAGGTAAAATTCATAACTACGAAGTCTTCAATTTGTCCACAGAGTTCGTCACACGCCGCCATATTGAATTTTCAAAAATAACCACATGGAATACCATAGGGTCCTGTTCGACCTTAACCTCTAACGTCATCAGACAAGTGGTTTGTGGTAGTTCTTTTCTGTGGCAGGCCTATGATAGCATTTGGCCGGCTTTCATTTTTCCATGGTTAAAGCAAAACGACGATTTCATTAATTCTTGAAATGCCTGCAATTTTTGCCTTTTCCCGTATCTCTAAGCAACATATGAGTTGCCAGTAATCGGATCTTTGTGATTGCGCCAGGTTGTTTCGACGCGGAAAATACACGATTTTGGTGAGAGATCATCGCTTTTTCGCCGCCAGTTTATCACAAATGGATTTAGGTAATGTTGATACAAAGGAAGCGTTCGTTTTGGTGCGATTAACCATGAAATATGTCATAAAATCTATCGATTACTTCCTACCTTGCGTAAGGTTTATTTTGAAATTAACATCGCTCTATGGTCTTCACATAACACATAATGACGTTTAAACTTTACTGGAACAATTTGAAATAGTACTTGCCAACGACACACAACAGAACAACAGAACTGAATGCACTGTTAACGTTGCTGCACAATCCCTTCCAATGCTACGCACAGTTGCCAACGTATCCCACGGAATCGTCTTTAGGTTCCTTGCTTGGACAACATTTTTTCTGAACTAAGACTCCATCGTGAGTTCCTTTCTAAAAATACAGGCCTATTTTTTTTTTAGTTTTTAAATCCCCCTTTTTCCATATTTCTTTTCCTCTGCGCACAATACTTTGGCGTTCGCAACTGTTCGCGGCAAATACATTTTCTCCACAAATGCAAATCTGAGGGTCTAATGGTGTTAACCGGTAGCCGTAAAACAACCAAACATTTTAGCCGTTGGTCGTAAAAGTTGACAAATTTTAATCGTTAGTCGTAAAAGAGGTTTACTGTAACCGATAGCCGTAAAAGCCATCACTCCACTGAGACCCTTAAACCGTGTTTGTTTCAATAAAAACTCTATCTACTTCCTTTGTCTATTTAAATCTTTTTCTAATCAGCCTTTTCAAAATTCTTCCACATTAATTATAAAAGTAAAATAGCACAATTCCAGTAATATTGATTGATCTTTCCGAGAGCTCTCATCCCGCTCCAACAACATTTCAATAAAGGCAACGAAGCGAGAGGCAAATCGGATCTAGTACATTGTGACATGATGGCTTATCTGACGAATGATGCCAAGGCTGTTGTTGGAACTGAGGCACCTCACAAATATGTATTGTGTTAGGTTTTGTTAAAGAGTTGGACTATGTACTTCATTAATGGTTATTATCAACTGTTACGTTGAGAACTCAAGCTGCGCTATTCAAAGATTCTTTCCTCGTTCAGGTGTTAATTATACTTGTATATTTCATGTTATTTTAAGTTAATTAAACAAAGTTGTGGGTTGCAGAATTTGATCAAACAGACAAAAAGCGTTTGTTCAGATGTGCAATTCATGTCAGCACTGATAACGAAATCAGTTGCCTTAAAATTTTCCTATTGTAATCGAAACTTACACGGTGGCTTTCAATGCCAATGCAGGAGTTCTGATCAAAATTGGTTGCTCAATGGAGATATTGTGCCTTCGAATGCCTCAATTTTTAGACTTTGTCAAAACCAGGTTAAGTTCACTTTACTTTAGGGCGAGGATAGAGAAGAAATGAAATGGACAAGTTAAAACAGTTCAATATTGACAAAGAATTAAGAATGTCTGTCATTTAAATTCAATAAGATTAAAAGAGTTACATTATATGTTACATAAGGAAAGAATATAGACACGAAAATAATCCTAAAATGATAACCATGACATGCTGAAGTAATTAAAAACAGATACAGGTTCAATGCTTACTTTTCAAAGGTTGTCAGTATAAATCTGAAAAAAAGAAACAAAATCAGACATTAAAAGAAACACTTGCAAAATGAATGAATTCAGCGCAGTGAAAGAAAATTTGGTAAAATTTCCGCACAACCCCAAGCTGAAATGGTAATAATAATTTAACAAGAGAAAAAAACTACAGATATGAAAATAATACTAAATGATAACCATGAAGTGCTGCAATAATTCAGAACACATAAGGTTTGAAAACTTATTGAAAGAAGGTTGTGGGTATAAATCTAAGAAAAAAAAATTAATATCAGACTTTCAAATAAACACTTGCAAAATAAATGAAATTCAGCTCGGTTTTGTTGTTAGAAGATTCTAGCGCCAGACCCTATCAAATGTGTGGCCAAATATTGACTTTCCCAGCGAAGAAGGACTTGATGCACAACAACATGGTGACCACATCCAACAGAATCAGCTGAATATCAATGCACTGGGCGACCACCACAAATCAGGGTCACTGTTGATGACAGCAGTTAGCTCGACCATTATCTTGCCTCTCCCACCAAATTATCCATTTGACCAGATTACCTCGACTAATAAGACCAAATTGGCCGCCTCATCCAACACGACTGACGGAACTGCTAAAACACTTCTAAAGCTAATAGAGGTCATTACCAGAAATCACGGACATTTTGCGCCGGTGTCACAGTGGATTTGGACCCTTCGCGGATTTGGACCCCCCCCCCCCAGTCCATATCCGCTGGCGGATATGGACCCCCCTTCGCAGGTTTGGACTCCCCTACCAAACTTTCCTTTTGAGCATCGTTTATATCGTATTTGGTAACTAATTCTATTTGCAAGCTTTTTGTCGATGTTCTCTTCAATCACAACACAACATTCCTCAATAAAGGTAAAGAAAAACAGCCATTTCGTTCCAATTCTGCCGCATTTATCATAGCGAGTCGTACAGTATACGCAAGAATTAGATGCGAACAAACTACTGCATTCGAACTATTGAAATTGTTACAATAAATCTTTGCTTCCTCTGATGCGAGTCAACACTCATACGAAACGTCATAACAATAGTGGAGACTATTGCGTCCACTCACAAAAAAAACTCAGTCTGATTTTC